TATAGTCAAAAATTTTTTTAAGAATTTTGCGAAATTTGACCCGGCCGGGTTATGAGAACCAATTTATTAAGTTTATATGGCCTAAACTATTTTTAAAATATAATTATAATGTTTTTATAATATTTTTAGTTATATTAAAATAATATTTTAAAAATATTTTTAAAAAAATTATTTTAAAATATTTTTAAAATATAATAATAATATTTTTATAATATTTTTATAATATTTTTAAACTATTTTTAAATCTTTATTTATTTTTAAAAATTTTTATTATATTATTAATATATTATAAATATATTATAAAAATGTTTTTTTTATAAAAACATATTTATTATATTTTAAAAATATTATTATTTTATTATAAAAATATATATAATTTTTTTTAAGTTTCAGTAAAGTTTCATAGGGTTTTTTTTAACAATATATAAGTCAAATTCTCAAACTGAAAACACATTTGGTAATAACTTTTTTATTTGTTTCATGTAGCAAATTATTATTAAAAAGCAAATATATACTTACTTATAATGTTTAAAAAGATCAAATTGCTGCTGAGGATGCAATTAAATTACCAATTTACAACTATTCATTCTTTAATTTGAACAAACAAATTGCATATAATGTATTTAGTAAGCTTCTTAACAATATAATATTATCTTTATTAAAATTATAATCTGAAGATATCATCGATCCTGAAAATATCACTGGTTTGGAAAATACCAATGATCCTGGAGACATCAATAATTCTGAAGACACCAATGATTCTGAAGATACTAACAATCTTGAAGATATCACCGATTCTGAAAATACCACTGATTTTGAAAATACTACCAATTCTGAAGATATCACCAATTCTAGTATTGTTATTAGGACAATTATTTCTGATGCTAGTTTTCTTTCTTGAGCATCTTTTGAGAAAAACCTTAAACATTATGATAAAGAAAATAGATTTAAACTAATAAAGGATAGACAAAAAACAGACAATGAAACTAAAAAAATTATTTGTTAGTGTTTTGAATATGAACATTTTAAAAATCTAAAATTAAAGTCTGATGCTACTTAAAAAATTAGTTTAAAGAAAATCTAATATGAATGGTGATATAATGCTAGTTATAGAAAGACTGAAGAGAAAATTTATATTAATAAACTTATTACAATATATAATCATAATCTTACTCCATATCATGAGGAGTTTGCTTCATCTTTGCGAAGATTGTTACAAGAAGTTCTAGATGAAATAAAGTTCATGACACAAAAATGTGAATATAATGCTTATTAGCAAAGATGTTATCTTGTTAATAAGTTTTCTGATATTAATATCTATTCTAAGGATCTTTATAATGCAATACAACAGTATAAAACCCCTACCAGCTCTAATATAAATCAAAATGCTATCATAATGCTTGAATATTTAATTTCTAAACAGTATGAGAACCCAGATTAGAAGGTTAATGTATATTTTGAGGGTGCTGATACTTTCTTGGTCTGTCTGTTTTGCCAAAATCCTAATCAATCTCAGCTTTATGAACAGTATCATAATGTAATTGTAAATGATAATACTTATAAAACTAATACTTATTATATGTTACTAAATATTTTTGTGGGTGTTGATTCATATAATAAAACAAAGTTGCTGGTACAAGTACTAGTTTAAAATGAAATACAATCTACTTTTGAGTAGATCTTATAGTTTTTAAAAACTTTGAATAATAATATTACTTCACAACGATCTTTATAAATGCCGATTCCAGGATGGCAATTGCAATTCATAGCATATTTCCTAATACCAAACATAAGCATTGTTTATTTCATATTAAACAAAACATTCATAAACACTTTGCAAGAAAACTTGTATACAATCAATACAAAAAATTCCTAGAACAATTTATTGTACACATAATAGTAAATGTATAGAACTTTTTGAAAATCGATGATATAAATGATTTTCCTATACATGAACAGTATTTGAATCGATTATATAAATTTCGATATGTATGAGCTTTGGTTTATATATACTTAATATTTTGTATCAGTATAAACAGCACCCAACGTGTTGAAGGTTTTAATGCTATTTTAAAGGCTGAAGTTGAAGCCTAAACCACACTCACAAAATTAGTAGCAAGTATTAAAAAGCAAATTAATTATGAAGCCAAATGCCAATATGAATCAGAATACCGAAGATGCTTATTTTTAGATTTTTGATCAAAAAATATAAAATTAAGCATCTTCGCTTCAAATTTTAAGTACAATAAAAATAACTTTGCTAATTTAATGTATTTTTAGGTGCTGAACAAATTTAATTAGTAAATTAAGTTAAAATTAATTAGTAAAGTTTTGAGAAACATAAGATTTTATAAAATTTTATTAATAAAATTTTATAAAACTTATTATTATTAAAAAATTTACTAATTAATTCTAACTTTATGTACTAATTAAATTTGTTTAGCACCTAAAAATACATTAAACTAATAGAGTTATTTTTATTGTACTTAAAATTTGAAGTGAAGATGTTTAATTTTAGATTTTTTGATCAAAAATCAAAAATTAAGCATTTTCACTCCAAATTTCAAGTAAAATAAAAATAATTCTGCTCGTTTAATATATTTTTAGATGCTAAACAAATTTAATTAGTGCATCAAGTTAGAATTTTTTTTTTGGTGTTCAGGTGGGATCTTGCCTATGACTTTATT